GCAGCAGGAACAGGGATCCCGCTGCTTTTGGCCACAAGGGTAAACGTCTCGACTAGACACGTCTGAGATTAACACCGCTCGAGTGAAACTCTGCTTCAGTTGCTCATGATCTGTCCTTAATATTATTAATTATGGTTACCTGACTTGGGAGTGGGCCAACGGCTTAAGGGGCTACTCGTACCCACTGATCTTTGCAAGCATTTACAAAGCTTTACAGCTGCTGGAGAAGGACGATGTTCAGCTGCTGGTGAGTGCAACCAGAAGAACGCATCTGCTACTAAATTCAGTTTAGCAGCATCGTATTTAAATTCAGTGTATTTTTATCATTCAGCTGCCTTGAATCCGGCAGCTAGAAGTGTACGAGCAGAGACCTCACTGCAGCGTTTTGCACGGGTGCAGAACTCGTCCTTAGATCTCCAGTCACAGTACTGATGCCTGCGACTGCAGAGGGTTATTCTTGGCCTCTGTCCGTCTCCTGGAGTTTCATACTGATATCATTTGCCACTACATCATAATTGCTCAGTGGTTCATTTTTCCAAAGTGTTTAACAATACATATTTGTACTAAACTCAGTAACAACAGCCCCTTGTGACTTCAATTGCAGATGAACGGCAAAGAATTCTATTTTCAATTTCTGAACACTTTGAACTGAACATTAGAGTTGCTTTGTTCTGGCAGAAATATTCTCTTGCTTAAGGACGTTAATATTAAAAAAAAATCATAAAAAGCTATAGAGACTATTCACTAATTCACTTGCTATTTTCATGTCTGAACAGTCATTTGCTAATTCAGTAGTCCTCTCCAAACTTGGAATTTAACAGGTTTGTGGCAAGTAGAATTTTCTCTCTGCTTACATAGATATGGGTCCCCAGACTTGCACAGGCAGTGCTGGCAGCTTTTGCTGATGTGAAGCTTTACTCATTAGTGCAACACCTTGAAAATGCAGAAACAGCAAAGTGTGTGGTGAGTCTCAGCCTTCAAAAACCTTTATGCATGTTAATAAACACTGTTGCAGTGTAAACAACAGCAAAATGACAGTAAGTCACACTTTGAAGAATAATCACCTTCATTTAAAACTACAAAATTTAACATTTCTCCCTATGCATCCTGTTGTTCGTAATTATTTTCAGTACTTCTGCCAGCTGTGTTCCTGGTTTACATGGTATTCCTGTACCAGAACTCTAACAAACACCATGGAAACTCTCCTTACCATTTTTGCTCTTTCCTACTATCCAATAAAAGGTTCCAAGATGGGGAGCAGGTGAGAAACTCTCTACTAACAGTACTGATGATTTTTGGCTTGGGATAACACCAGTCTACTGATACTGTTTAAAATGCTAACTTTTATCTTAAAATATAAGGCAACCAAAACCACCTCATTCGTGTAGCAACAGCTCCAGATCTTGGAAGGAACAGCGTTGTGATGTTTTCTCTAAAAATTTTTTTGAAGCCGTGATACAGCTGGTATATAAAATTACTGTTCTCCAGTTCCCTTACACAAAGTACCACTTTATGGGAAACTTTAATTTAAAGGACTGGAATTTGTGGTAACTTGGGAAAAGATAACAAAAGCTTGTTTGGTTTTGGAAATAGGTGAATTTGTGGTCACAACTTTTTTCACCAGCTATCTATTTACAAGCAAGTATGTGCTTCTAGTTAGCAACTCCATTGCTAATAAAGCAATTACATAGTTGGCAGCCTTCCAAGCAAAACAGAGTACCTGTACTGAGACAAAGTTATCTGCAGTAGGAAGAACTTTTGGTCAGAGACATGACAGTATTTAAATTGTTGAAATGCCACTGTCTGCAAAAAAATTGACCAAACCCTTTGATAAACTTCTGTTTTTCTTATGTTCCCTCCCTCTAGTTGCAAATATTTATCTTTGGTAGCACTTGCAATTGTTATTCGTCCCACTGCTGTTATCCCATGGATACCTTTGGTCTTTAGTCATTTTTTGCAAGAACAGAGGAAAGCAGACCTTATCCTACGCAACTGCATTCCAATTGGGTAAGTTCTTTCTGAATTTAAACTCTTCAGTGCGTAGCTATACCTTAAGATTGATTTTACCACCGCAAAGGCAGACAATCCAAAAAAGCTGACTTCATGTGGGGGAAAAAAAAAAATATAGAGTCCTTTTGCAAAAGTTCAAAGGAGGGACACGCTTCCTTTAAATTAACATACATGCTGGAAAAAAGCACTAGGGATGATTTCATGAAGATATGAGGATAAGACATGAACAGCATTCCAGCGTAATGTGGGATTGTGCCAAGAATGCCAGATGATGGCAACTGGCCACTGTAAGACAGCCATGAGTATGGATACTCTCAAAAAAAGATTAGGAATAACTATTCAGGGAGTTTTGACCACTATTTGGAGAAGAGTAGAATCTGATACAAAAGTAATCCAGGCAATATCAGTGCAACTAATTTTCCATTTTTGCAGACTGGTCACAGTAGGAACCTCTTTAATAATTGACCGTGTGTTTTTTGGTGAGGTAAGTTGCTTTAAACTTGACTTACAAGAAAAAGGTTGGATTTTAGCATGGACGGATGTCCATCTCTAACTTCTGTTATTTCTGTGTCTGGCCTATGATCTCTAAACATATCCTAAGCCATAAATCCTTAAACACTGACTTCTCGGTTATTTTAAATGTCAGACTGTTACTTAAAATCAGTATGCTCAGCTCTCAGTAAATCAAGTTATCAACAAACAACAAAACTTAAACTGTGTGTAATTGCTAAATATAGCAAGTCTGTGATGAGTCTTAGTAGAAAAAAACGTAAGTATCAATAAAGATGCTGTATTATGTAAGGCCAGTGATGACTCTGTAATTAAATTTAGCTGCTGGTTTTCACTTTGGATTTGTATTTAACTTTTTCTAACCCCCTCCCCCTTAAATCTCCCAGTGGGTACTAGTTCAGCTGAACTTCTTGAAATTCAACGTGCTGCAGAATTTGGGAACGTTTTATGGATCTCATCCTTGGCATTGGTACTTCACCCAGGGACTACCAGTCATCTTGGGTACCCATCTGCCTTTCTTTATTCATGGCTGTGTGCTGACACCGAAAAGGTATCGCATCTTTCTAATGGCAGTGATTTGGACAGTGGTGGTATACAGGTAATTTCTCTTAAGCATAACTACTCCCTTTCATTGGTTGTGTTCTTTTTAAACCTCATGTCCTCTCTAGAACAAAAAAGCATAGTATTCAGGTTAAGTGATAGAAGACTTTAAACTATTCAAATACTCCAAGAAATGAAGTCAATTGTACAATAGTTTCTAGAATTTCATGTAATACTACTACTTGTATTATTACCGTACACATTTTTATAATTTATTCGACCCTTAAAGAATAAAATAATTCAGCATGAAATTCAATGGAAAAGGTAAAAAAAACCAAACACTTCGTCACCTAACAAGTGTTTAAGCAACAACAGAACTAGTTTGAAAACTGTGTTTACTGGGTGCTTATTAATGAAAATATCATTTCCTTTGGTTATTTAATACATCCCCAGTAAGATGAGAGGGTCTTAGGCCTCTGAAACTTACTCCATTCACAAGTCTAAACACAGCTCTCAAAATTTATCATAGGACTGTATGTCTTATTTTAAGCTGAGAAGTAGAAGAGAAGGTAAGCTGTTTCTAAAGCATCAGAATTAATGGCAGATTAAACGAGATACTTTCAGGCAAGAAAAGATAAAGCAAATTAATAAATACTACAGTAATAACAGAATACAGCAAAACAGTAGCAAGGCCACAAATGCCATCTCTTCTTTCAGTCCAACTCAAAACTGGACATAGCTCTTTTGGTTTTAGGCCTTTTTTGTCTCCCTTAGTCTAGTAAGAACCTGTTTCACTCCCATGACACAAGTCTTGCAGTCATCCCAAAAAGGCCCCAAAAGTTGTCATGGGAAATTGTGTACATTTGTATTAGCAGAGGTGAATGTTACTTTGTTAGATACAAACATGTACTTCAATCTTAGCTTACTATCCACACTTTTTGTTCTATTACAGAAAACAAATCGGTGAAGCACTACCTAAGTTATATTTAGTAGTCATAGAACCAGACCACTTAATTGCTAGAGCAGTAGGCAGGTACTTTTATTAGTGCTTGGTATAAACTGAGCAAATAATCTTAATTTGAATGTACTTATTATGCTCTTAAAAATTGACAATTGGCATTTTTACTCTAAACTGTTTCAATGCCAAAAGCTTTTTAGGACATGCAAGTGCTTTTCTTCTAGTCCTCCATGCCCTAAAATATATTTTGTCAACAGAACTGATGCATTTAACTTTCTCGCTGTAGTATTATATCTGTTTTATTACAGCATGCTGAGCCATAAAGAATTCAGGTTCATCTATCCAGTACTACCATTTTGCATGGTTTTTTGTGGTAAGCATTGGTTTCAAACATCTTGCAACCTTCCCTGTGTATGACTTTTACTGAAAGAGAGACTGTTAATCATCAATATAGGTATTTGACAAAAGATTCTTAGAACTAGCCTAACCTTTTATTATTGCTGGGGCGTACAGGAAGATGAGGAACACCAGGTCACTGATGTACAGCTGGAGAATCTTTAGCATGGATCAAAGTACTTCATGCAAAAAAATAGGAAAATTGCCTGAGTGACTCTAACTTTTCAGCAATGCCACCCTTACACTGAAGTTTGTTTCTTGGCTCCTTTGTAGTATTTTTTCACCTGCTTCTGTCAAATATGCTTGATGAATGCAATAAAAAAATTAAAGTATTCAAAACCTAAAATTATCCTTTTCTAGATTCAGGTATGTTAGTAGATAATGCTAGTTTTCTGTCTGCTTTTGACCAACCACTAGCTGGAGGCTACTTCCCACAGAAGTTTTACAGCAGTTCATGTGATGGCTTTTTCCTTCAGGCATAGTACAGCGAATTTGTTAAACAAGAATAAGGTCCCTAAACTAATGTGGTTAACTCAAAAATTTAATAGAGACAATCTGTCCACAGTTTGAACTAGAAAGCATATTGCTTATGCCAATTAAGATTTTTCTGATACTTTAACAGAAACTTTTAAAGTATTTACCTATTTTTCTGGGTTTTTTGTATGTTTTTTTCTCTGTAACACAGAAAAGAGCCTAATAAGGAAGTATTTTACATGTTACAAAACTAGCTATTAACTACACTAGTATATCTATAGGAAAAGTAAAATCATGATGTAAAGTCTAGCATGCTGAAAAGTTACAAAGGAAAGATTAACACTTCTAGAACAATGAAGCTGTATAGTTTTAGTTTAAATGCAAGTTCAAAACAGATGAATCAATGAAAATTGTCATTTTCTTTAATCTGTTTTGCTAGTCCGCACAGAAGCAAATCTTATTTCAATAATTTTGCTGTCTGCTGAGACCAAACATGTAGCATGTCTTGGCATAGTTCAACGTTCAGTTCAATAGCAGATTTAAGATCAATCAGTTCTCTCACATGCAGAAAAATTCCAATCAGACCACTTCCTTTATTTAATAATCCCTCTTAACTATCATGTCTATAAGGGAATGAGGTCACCTCCTCAATTTATCAAGAGCTCATTATCATCTGTTTGGATACTTTAGTAAAGAAAAAAATGACAAAAGTTATTTCTGGTAACTCAGTGATTACAAATTGGTCTTTAAATTGCTCAAAACATTATAAATAAAACAAAAAAAAACCCACATGAATTTCACAGTCATTTCCAAGCACACTTAAAATTAAGCTAAGAGTGTCTCACAAAAGCAGTTAAAAAAAAAAGCTTATAATAGAATGTTTCCACCCGTGTTTAAACCACAGACTGATTAGTGGACTTTGTTCTCATCTGAGATAAAGATCTGCAATTTGTCAGAACAGACCAACTGAAGACTAATTTAACTTACTCATTACTGACTTCTGAAGCAGGCCTATTCTAACTTGTTCCTTGTGATTCAATAAAGGTGGTCACAGAGACAGGCTGCATAAAATATTTTTATCTCCTAATACTGACAAAGCACATGACTTAATAAGGGTTTCCAGACTGGCTGCAACATGAAGCTGTGTTCTGTGCCAGGTTCATCTAAGTTGTGGTTGTGAGAAACAGGTTTATACAGCTATCTCTCACCAGGAGAAATGTCTCTTCCTATTACTGGCTCATTCAAGAAAAGCAGGGTAGGAGATGGGAAACAATGAAGGAGTAAGCTTTTCCAAGGATAGTAGCTCAAAAATTAGTAACAGTAAGGGAATGCTGTAGCTACCAGCATGTTGGAGAAAAAGAGTAACATAGCCATACCAAAGCACATGTAGTTATCATTTATTCTGGCTCTACTTGGACACGCATGAATCAGAACACATCAGTAATTTGCCACATATCATTCATCCAAACTACTGAATAGACAATTTTTTTCCTCCCACAAGACATTAAAATTAAGCTCTAAATTAGAGACAAAGCACTGGCTTTGAAATTGTACTTCTATACTTCAAAAGACAGGTATGGGGTTAACATTTACACTGTTAAATCCAAGAGTTAATAAGGGTAAAGTCTAACCTTTGAATTTCCATTTAAAGAGTAAAGATTGAAAGAACACTGTATTAAAATTCCTCAAAGCAAGGTTCTGCTATCAACTGAATAATAGTTTTCCAGTAGGTTATGGTACTTTCAAAAATACTGTGTGGAACTGTTATTATTTATCTCTAAAACTTACTGAAACATCTCTTCAGGATACTCTTTGAAACACCTGAAAGCATGGAAGAAATCTGCAGCAAGTTTTCTGCTTTTATCAAACTTACTCCCAGCCCTGTATACAGGCTTGATTCACCAGCGAGGCTCTCTTGATGTTATGAGTCACGTACAGCAACTCTGTGATACCTCTTACCAGTCACAAGCTTTTGTCTTCATCATGATGCCATGCCACTCTACTCCATTTTACAGGTATTAAAAGTTAACAGTGTACTACATTAAAATCCATGCACTTAAGCAAAATTAATTTTTTTTTTCCCTAAGCTCAATAAATTGAGATGCATGGATGTATACAGGAAGAGTTTTGATTTTTCATACAGTTAATACAAAATGAATACGGGAAATAAGCCAAATGCTTACACCACAGAATAAAATTCAGCATCTAAGCTTTATTCAGTTTTTGTCAAACAGCTTTGTATGAGGATTTGCAGTAAGTCTTATGACTTCTGAAAGAATTCATACTGCTTCATTATGGTAACTTTTGTAGCAAAACTAAAGACTAATTGTTACAGTCAAAATGCATTAATTTTACCTTTACTTCTGCTGCTAGAGAGTAAAAAAATGTATTTACAGTATACAATGACTGAAGTCACTATTCCAAAAAGTTTGTAACAGATCCTGGCAAGTAAACAAAACGTTAAAGCAGATATAAACAGTGAGGCTGGTATGGAAAAGTACCTTTTCAAGAAACTCGTGTTACACAGATGGTATTTTTATTAAGATAAATCTGCTTTCTGTGAACTGCTAACAACAGTCACAGCAGTTTGGAGCCAACTCCACTTGTTCCACTTTTGCTTTCATGTGAAGTACAGAAGGGAAGAAAATACAACTCTGGGGGGAAGAAAAGTAATTATTCACTTTTGCTTTTGACAGAGGTATCTAAGTGATGAATGATTTCAAATCTTAGCTACTGTTCAGTTTATCCTGAAGTGTTTGTTTTGGTTTTCTCCTTAGTCATGTTCACTGTCCTCTAAAAATGAGATTCCTTCAGTGTCCCCCAGACCTAACTGGAAACGGAAGCTATATCGATGAAGCTGATGTGTTTTACTCTAATCCGCTTGGCTGGCTTAATAAGGAGTTTTACAATGATACGTTATTGCCCAGTCACTTGATCTTCTTCAGTGTGCTAGAACAGGTATGGTAACTGCAAGATGGAACAAACTATTTTTCAGGTCAAGTTACAAAACAAATTAAGGGAGAGTTATAGTTAAGATTGTTGAAAATTGTTGTCCATAACTTTTTAAAGCTTAAATGAAAATTGGACCTTCTAGCCCATAATATAGTATAGATACCATTCCAGTGATATATAGGCTTAGTGTTCAGGTATACCCTCTCCTCTGTGTGACTTCTACACGCCATAAAGTAATGTTTGATGGAATTCTGAAGCCATATTAGAACAAAAGTGTGGTCTGTTTCCAGAACCATATGCTTAAGCAACAATTACAAGCAAAAACACCTGCAGTCAGAGTACCTTTTCATCTCAATTCTTTTATGAAGTCCATGTACTCAAACAACAGTGTCTGGTGAACATCCCCTCTGGACAGGATCAAACAGGATAGGTACCTCTTTTTCTAGCAGTCTTTCCTAAAATAAAGGATAAAACTTCCAGGGACAGTTGAACTGATGGTTTTCAGAAGACTGTTCTTATGCTCCCAACTACACTTTCTGACTAGAAACTAATGTATGTTCATTTACAGGAAATATCATCATTTCTAGCTTTAAGGGGCTATGAGAAAACAGCCACTATCTTTCACACTCATGTACCTCAAGGACGAGTTGGAAGCCATATCTACGTCTACAGGAAAAATAAATGAAATGAATCATACCTGAAGATCAGTTTCTAGACTTAAGACCTAATGAGATCAGTTTTGCACAGCATTGCTATGCTTAGAAGATCTTGTACTGAAGAAAGGAGAGAGTAGTGAGTCTGAAACAGGGTAAGTCAAATGGGGAGGTCTAATTGGACAGCCACTGGGTGCCTGGAAACACCGACACCTCTTCCTGAAGGCAGCTTCAGTAGCAGTATGGCAGGGTGGGGGTGTTGACTTACTTTACAACACCAGAAAACATCAGGAAGACCAAAGCTGCTATGTGACTACTTAAACAATAAGAAATTAGACAAGACTGGACCATTTTTATAGAACTGTACAGCTATGCTAGGTTTGTTTTATAAATAAAGACTTTTACCAACAATGTCTCTTTATTTTTCTTCTACAATATGCAGATATGCAAGATATTTCAAGTGCTTAAATCAGCAAGCTGATTAGAATGCAGCACAGCAAATTCTTCACAATTCAACAGGCTCTTGAACCCCACCCCAAAAACAAGCAGCAAGTATAGGATTACAAAACACTAACAAATACATTACCATAATATAGGCCTATTTTTTGAAGGATGAGATGAAGTTAGTCTATCAAACACTGGAGTTAATTATTGGTACATTGTGCATGACTCAAGCTTGAGCTACGCTAATGGAATGCAATTAAGCATATTTTTCATACACGAGTCATTGCATGCTTAGTTTCTGCAACAATACTGCTGGCACCCAAACTACCATCATTTCCAAAGAACAGTTAAAGCAACAGTACAGAATATGCAAATTAGAAAGCTTGACTTCTGCCATTTAACAAAAAGGTGTAAAAATCAAATTATTTAGAGAAAAAACTTGCATCTTGCTGCTTTGCTGAAAAACAGTTAGTTTCCGGAGAGGACGTGAATTATTAATTCTAATCTTATTTTTACCATAAATTACTCAGTATTTTGGATCAAAGGGTAATTGCCCCAATTCTATTTCAAGGTTTGCCATGTGTCTTCCATTAGTGCGACCATGTTTATGCCATTTACCTTCTCTTTTATTGCGGTGGTGGTACTTCTGAGCTTGTTTTTCATGTCTGGAATTTTCAGTTTGTGTAAAAGAAGGCCTTTTGGGTCGACTGCAAGGAGGAAACAAAAGCTTATTACTACTCTTATGAAAGCATCTCTCTAAAAGCATTTTGAAACACAACTACATTGTCAAGAACAGCTTTTAACATGCTGAGGTTGACTGAAAAGAAAACAGAATTAAGTCGTCCTTTCTCTTCTAAGCAAAATGGAGGTGGGGTTTATTTGTTTGTTTAAATCATCAGTAAGGTGAAATATTTGAAGTACAGCCTTTCTAAAAATAAAAATGCTTTGTAGCTAGTTGCCCAAAGTTCTTTTTAGAATAAAGCCAAGTAAACAGCTGTTTGATTATCCCTACTGTGACACTTGAGTGAGATCTCAGTCTATTTTTCAGTTATTCTATTACATTCTGCTCTATAAAAATAGTCAAAACTTTACAGACCCTTGCTTTGTGTAAACATGGGCACTTCAGAGGTTTTCATGTATACATTTACACAGAGAGAGGGTGCACTGACAAAGCACTGTTGCTCACTTGTTTCAGTTTTTGATGCAACCAGTCCCATTATGCTACATGCTGTTACCTTAGGACTAGGGTTTCTAGCCTTCTGCTAAGCTGAGTTAACGCTATTTTCATCCTCAGTATGATACAAACTTCTGTATAATACCATCATTAAATGAATTTGAAATTCTTGTTTTCTGCAAGCTGAATTAAAGCACTCAAAAATTAAGTAATTTTTTAAAAAGTTCATTTTAGTAACAATTGAGTAAGAAGTACTTGCACTATAAATAAAACCATAAAACCTATGTCATGTGTTTGCCAAAACTACACATTATGAAAGCTACTTGGTAGCTGATAATTGGAGTTATCATCCTTGTGGTTCAACTTTTAGTAAGAGAAAGTACTACCTCAGATAATATTTAGTAACCCCATTAAAGTATTCAGACTTCCCACTGCAATAAAACACATGAAATAATAAACAATACAAGTCCAAAAGAAAAACTTGACTGAAGAACTGCATGCACCTTGATCTAAATACTAAATATGCTCTGCACTCAATACCAGCACAGGGAAAATTTCTGTTATGTCTACAAGGACAACTTCTTGTGTATTATAAACTAGTTAATATATCACACTTTTTCTTACCTGATCAGAATAAACATTAGTACAAGGGACTATACAGCCAATTTTGTAACAGCAATGATATTACAAGTCACATAAAATATAATCATAAGCTTTACAGAAAGAGCAAGTTCCACACAATATATTAAGGCTGCTTGCTTAATTTTCTTTCACCAAAGTCTGCGCAGTAGAAACAGTCCAACATATCTAGCTCCATTGGGCCAACCAGGCAGCATACCACAACCACTGCAGAATCCCTGAAAATGCCATTAGATACAGGAAAGTAACGTAGGAAACAATTCGTGCCAAGGACCTTTGTAAGCAGGTCTGAACCAAACGTAGTCAGGGTTAGGATGTGAACTAGTCTGCCATCTCAGCAGCTCCGCCTTGGGCATACAGACTCAGTATTACACTAAGCTAGAAGGGAGCAGGGAAATTCCTGAAAAGCCAGTAGCGAATACACCAGCCGAACAAGACGTTAGAAACTGCTCAAATACATCCCAAAACCTTCTCATTCAGGGAAGGACAACAAGGAAGTCACAGTTAATGCTCCTTCTGAGCCAGTTATTCATTCTATCAGATGGGCAATCATAGCTGTTCAGTCTAAAGTAATCCTTGCAGTTATGCAGTTTTCTAAAGAACTCGGTAGAAATACTAATTGTGCCATGTGCAGTGGGTCTGTAGTGCCTCCCAAACTAACATGGCACACACACAAAATGTATATAGAAGGTAGTACAGATCTACTTTTATATATATAAAACAATCTAGTATTTCCCTTGAGTCCTTCAGAAAGTCTTCTAACGTAGATATATGCGTATACACAAACGCATACACACCAGAAGACCACCTACTAGAACAAGGACACTAGCTGTCTTTACAAAATCTACTTCATTGCGTTGACAAGTTCAGGAAACATGGAAACAAACCTGGGTCCATACTGGGGTAGATTATCATAATGAAAGTAGTATCTGTAGATGTATTTGTCCAAATCCTCAAAAACCTTTTCATTATTATTTTGGTATTCCTTCATATCTTCCAGGTAATCCTTGACATCATTAACAAAATCAGTGAACAGCATCTGGTCGTGTATAAATACCCCATTATGAAAAAACTTATCGATGAAATTTTCTAGTTCTCTCCAGTGATGAAAGTTATGTACAACTTGTTGCAAATACTTTTTCATGAGCCGATGAAATTCATCCACCCTGATAGGATCCGACACTCTGTTAAAGAGACTAATGAATTCTTGATGAGCACATTCAAAAATACCAGAGCAGCCCTTTAGGACAAACTGATGTTTTCTATTACACAAGGGATCATTGAGACATTTCTGTGAATCTGTATCTTTTGAAAAAGCTGTAAACTGATGTTTTCTTCCATCTTTGAATTCTTTTGGCATGTTAGGTCCCCTGTAGTGCATGTGCTTCAGATTCTCATAAGAGTTATGTTCTCGGTAAAAAGTTCGAGCTTTTTTGTTTGCCTCATGTCTTTTACCATTTGACTTTTTTTCATCAAAGATGGTTTTTGTGCTATCTTTGAAGTGTCTGAATGTAGATTTTACGGAATCAGAGAATTTTTTCAGGTTTTCTTTCACTGCTTCTTTAGCCTGCTTAATCTTTTCTTTATGGTGCCTTACAAACTCTTTTGTGGAATTTTTCATGGCATCAAAAGTTTCTTTAACAGAACCAAAAAATGATTCCTTAGATTTCTTTTTCGTCTTACTTTGCCCTTTAGCACCTTTCTTTTGTCCCTTTTCATTCATTTCCTGTTTTTCAGTTTGGTCTTTCACTTCAACATACAGCTTCTCCCATAAGTCAGAGCGCTGTTGCTCAAAGTTTAGCTTTTTTTCTAGTTCTACTAGTCTTTCTCGCAGAGTTTCTATTTCTTGATTTTCTCTTAATGTATCACCATCAGCACTGTCAGGTGTTTGGCGAGAACTTAACCGTTCCAGTTCTTTTTTCAGAGCTTCTGTAACATGACGTTCTTTGTCCAGTTCTCTCCTTAACATCTGTGCCTCTGCAAAGAGTGTTTCCTTTTGCCTGAGAAAGTTGTGGTTTCTTTGCTTTTCCTCCTCCAAATGTTCCCTCAGTTTCTGATTTTCCATCACAATAGACTCAGCGCTAGTACCTTTATCTTCTAAGTTTCTAATTTGTTGTCTTAGCTTCCTTAATTCTTCCTGAAGTGAGGCCAAAGCTTTTTCTTCCTTCTCTAGAGATTCTCTTAAGTGCTGATTTTCTGCAGTAAGACTTTTTTTTTGAGATTCAAAGGATTTCTTCTCCACCTCAGTAGAGGTCAAACATGTGGCAAGATCTCCCTTGAGTGACTAATACAAACAAAAAAAACCCAAGCAAAAATACAGTTAGAATTGTTACAATTTCAGCTAGAAAGATGAAAGACCACAGTATCCCAGACAGAGTTTACTTATCATTTTGTATGCAGTGACACATGTTGCAGCAAGATGCAAAAATAGACCTAGTTTGTTTATCTCAGATATACACACCAACGCTTTCTTGGCAACAAAGACCATGTGAGAGGCTCCCCCTTCCAGCCAGAGGTCATCACTCCTCGCTTGTATTGGTTTAACTAGCTGAAAGATAGCACACTGGGTACGTGAATTGATCCATCTTAAAAGGAAGTGAAAATGTGCGTGTTTGCTGTTGATTTATGTTCAGCAAACTGGGTTACAGATTACGAAACCAAATACATTAGCAGAAGCAATGGCATTCAACAGTTCGGGCAGAAATTTAGAAACTGATTTTGAACTAAATTTGCTGCTGAAAATACATGTTCATGTAACTATATCCTAGCACAAAAGGATCTCCCCAGTCTCTTGGCATGCTTGACAAACTCTAGAACTAAACATACTGAATTATGTATAAATGCTGCTATCAGCAACACAAAAGAAATCTTAAAAAAAAAGAGACACACACAGCATTCCCTAATCTCCTCTCAATGATCAAAC